CCTCTTACTCAAGACAAATTTTGAATTCAAAGGAAAAGTTTTTGAAGGAAATTAAAAGAACTACTTTAATGAACACACAAATGATAAGAAAACAAAGCAAAACAAAAGCCTTGTTGCTAATATGAGAAAGTTTTAGTGGTCTGAATAGAAGATCAAACTAGCCAAAACATTTCTGTAAGCCAAAACCTAATCCAGAGCAAGGCCCAACTCTCTTCAATTCTTTGGAGGCTGAGAGAGGTGAGGAAGCTGCCGAAGAAAAGTTTGAAGCTAGGAGAGGATGGTTTATGAGGTTTAAGGAAAGAAACTCTGCATAACATAAATGTGCAGGATGAAGCAGCAAGTGCTGTTGTAGAAGTGAGAGCAAGTTACTCAGAAGATCTAGCTAAGGTCATTGATGAATGTGGTCACACTAAACAATAGATTTTCAATGTAGGTGAAACAGTCTTCTATTGGAAGAAAATGCCCCTAGAACTTTCATAGCAAGAGTAGAAAAGTCAATGTCCAGCTTTAAAGCTTCAAAGGACAGGCAGACTCTCGTTAAGGGCTAATGCAGTGGGTGAAGCCAGTACTCACCTGTCATTCTAAAAATCCTGGGGCCTTTAAGAGCCATGTCAAATCAACTATCTGTACCCTATTAATGGAACAACTAAACCCAAATGACAGCACATTTGTTTACAGCATGGTTTACTGAATATTTTAAGCCTGCTATTGAGAACTACTGCTTGGAAAAAACAAAGAAGAACATTCCATTCATAATATTACTGCTCACTAACAATGCTCCTTGTCACTCAAGAGCTCATATGGAGATGTACTTGGAGATTAATGTTTTCTTTCCTGCTAGCATATCATCCATTCTGCAGCCTATGGATTAAGAAGTAATTTTGACTTGTTACTGTCCTGTTATTTAAGAAAAATGATTTTTTTGAGATGGTATTTCCCTCTTGTTGCCCAGGCTGAAGTGCAATGGCATGATTTTGGCTTACTGCAATCTCCGTCTCCTGGGTTCAAGTGATTCTTCTGCCTCAGTCTCCCAAGTAGCTGGGATTACAGGCATGTGCCACCATGCCAAGCTAATTTTGTATTATTACAAGACACAGGGTTTCACCATGTTGGTCAGGCTGGTCTTGAATTTTTGACCTCAGGTGATCCAACTGCCCTAGTCTCCAAAATTGGTAGGCTTACAGGCATGAGATACTGTGCCTGGCCTAAGAAATAGATTTTTATACACTATAGTTGCCATTGATTGACAGGGGTTTTTTGGTTGAATCTGCCCAAAGTAAATTGAAACCTTCTAGAAAAGATTCAGTAGTCTAGATACAATTAAGAACATTTATAATTTATGGTAGGAGGTCAAAATATCAACATGAACAAGAGACTGATTGATTGCAGCCCTCATGCATGACTTTAAGGGGTTCAAGTCTTCAGCAGAGAATATGACTACATATACATTGAGAAACAAACAAACAAAAAAATTGTGTGACTTGCTCTATTTAGGTATTAGCTTTATTGCGGTGGTGTGGAATGAAACCCACAATATCTTTGAGGCATGCCTATGCTGTCCCATTGGAAACACCTACACTTTGGAGAAAATATGTTCAAATTAGAGTACCAACAAACAGATGACCAGCAGTGCCAGACTTGGGCAGGCCCCCAGTTGGTGGAGGTAGGCCAAGAGTTGCCTTGGGAGAAAAGTGGAGAATAATTGTTTTTATGGATAGTTCAGTCTGAAGAGAAAGAAAGTAGGGTCTGGCTGTGTAAGTCTCGGTTTTTCTTACCAAATTACATCCCCAACCAAGATGGAGTGAATAAAAGTGTAAAGGAAAACCAAAGTGTATACCTATGTGGAAAAAAGCATCAGGAATGTGAGAAAGCTGGTGTCTCAACAAACACTTAGAATTTTTGCATGGAAAAGTGCATTATTGGTGCTATTTTATATTTAGCTACTTTTTTTTTTTTTGGACGAAAAAGGGATCAATAGTAATGTCTTCTAGGAACAATTGGAACCTTTAGAAGAAAATTGTTGTAGAAAGCTAACTTTTTATTCTATATTTTATATGCCAAAGAAACAAAATAAAATTTTACATCTGTGTGTGTTTGAGGGGTATTTGGGAATTGAAGAGGGAGCTTGGCTGAAGGACAGTGCACATGGCTTCAGCTTGATTCTGGTGAGGTGAATAAAAGGAAGTGTTGGAGGAGACAGTGACTTAGAGAGTTCCCTGAATAACCATGGTGGAATAGTTGTGTTGCTTAAACATTAGAGTATGGAGGGAAATATGCAATGTATCTCAATGTGCACAAGTTGAATATTCTTACTCTGGAGTGAATGGACTAGCATCCAGCATGGGACAAGCAAGCCTACCTCTTCTTCCTTGATATAATGCACATCAGTGTTATGAATCTCCCTGCTGCTATTTTTACCCCTAAGGAATCAAGTAGACAAGTGAATTCTAATGTATCCCAACAGATAAATATCAATCCTGTCTAATCTTTGCCCTTACCACATTTAGAATTACCCTTCCAATGCCTACATAAGTAGTTCTAGACTGACAGCTACTCTACTGGGCAATCTAAGTCAATAGCCCCTAAGTGGCAGGCACTCTAGAGGGGAGTCCCAAATTTATGAACTGTGGGATTGAGGACACATAGAAATTATTTTTTAGAATTCTGCTAGAAAGGAAGATAAAGAATATATACCACTTCCCTCTGGATATGTTAACTATTTTTTAATAATGTTATCCGATATTTTAACAATGTACACAGAGCTGCAGAGCCTTGAGTTTGTTGTTTAAATATCTTTGATGCTGTGTCATAACAAATTAATTTCTAAATGTTGCCAATTTGGCAGACAAAGCTGATTATTTCCTGCAATCGCTCTGCATATGTGCACAAGATTATAATTAATGATCAGGGATGCCAGCCATACTTTAATAATGATCCTTTAGTGTTTAGGAGCCGAATAGAGCAATTGGCATTTGTGCCCTCTATTGGGGCAGAGGAGAGAGAAAGAAGGCAGTGAATCTGTATAGATCTATCAGTGTCAAAGAATCAATAGTTTGCTGATTTCTGTTATAAATTTGAAGATTCTAAGGGAGTTATTGACAAAGCTGCTGCTGTGAATATTAACAGAGTGTTTATGTAGCCTTCACTGAAGCAGCACAAGTTCTAATTAGATTGGAACTGGTCTTTTGGCAACTTTGCAATTTGTACTTCCTCAACATACCAGTATGCCACACAAGGACTCCAAGAAGATTAGTGATATGTCTCAGAAGAATTATGTGAGCACAAAATGTCAAGATATCAAAGGCGTTTCATCATAAGAAAATGAGATTTATCAACTCTCGCTGATCGACATTTACACATTTTTATAGACTATTTTTTCCATTTCTTCATAAAAATGGGACCAAGAAGTGAATGTTCTTAAGTATACAATAGCATCAAAGTCTAAAAATAAGAGGAAAAGAGAGAGGAAAGGGAGTAAAAGAAAACATAAATCTTTATAGAGATTATTTTAATAAAATTACCTAAAATCCTTGAACTCCAAAGTAATTAAATATCAAAATGACTCTGTGTTTAATTAAAGGATTCTTCTGGAAGTATTTTAGGTTTTCTAGCATTCTTGTAACATTAAGTGTTTGATTTACTTACCATTTAAGACTATTTCCTGCACAAATTACACCTACAGTCTCATAGACCTTTTACAGATACTGCTTACTAGGATTTTAAAATGCTTTGGATGACCTTAATTTCTCTTCTACCATATCTGATAGTACTGTAGTACATCATTTCAAAGCAAGTTACCTTACTTTTCAATGAAAGAACTGAGATGATTGTATTCTAAATAGGGCTACCTAGAGGTACTATCTTCAAAATCTCAATAAAACCTTTTATGTCAGTAGAAAAAAAAATGCAAGAAACTGACTTGTGATGCCATGACATCACTTTCAAAGTAAGACAAGAACCAGAAAGAAAGCCCTGATTTCTTAACCGTGACTTGAATAGTACTTTCCTTTGATTATTAATAAGTGGATTCTCAAGTTAAAGAAGTTGCCTTTCACTAATTTCACTAATTGTGTGTGTGTGTGTATGTAAAGACTTTAGTGTGTGTTTGATCTTCCAGGTTGATGAAGAAGTCAAAGTTAAAGACCCTTTCCTGTCACTCATAGTTACATTGAATAAATACATAGAGGTAGACATGAGGAAAATGTTAACTTGAGGATAACCACAATAACTCTAAGTATCCCTTGAGGGCTCTGCTGGCTCCTAAGGCAGGAGAAGTCATCTTTCTAGAGTTCATCAACACTTTTTTAAAGGCTTTCTTCACTCTTGGGAAAGAGAGGTGAGACAGAAAGATGTAGATGACATCAGGGTCCTCTGAACAGGATTTTAAGAGGCTCAAACTTTTTTTTATATATTTTAAGTTTTGGGGTACATGTGCAGATTATGCAGGATTGTTACATAGGTATACACATTACATGGTGGTTTACTGCATCCATCCCTCCATCATCTACAGTAGGTATTTCTCTTAATGTTATCCCTTCTCAATTCCCCTACCCACTGCTATCCCTTCCCTAACTCTCCTACTCCGCAATAGGCCCAGGTGTGTGATGTTCCCCTCTCTGTGTCCATGTGTTCTCATTGTTCAACAACCACTTATGAGTGAGAACATGCGGTGTTTTCTTTTCTGTCCTTGTGTCAGTTTGCTGAGAATGATGGTTTCCAGATTTATCCATGTCCCTGCAAAGGACACAAACTCATCTTTTTTTATGGCTGCATAGTATTCCATGGTGTATATGTGCTACATACATTTTCTTTATCCAGTCTATTATTGATGGGCATTTGGGTTGGTTCCAGGTCTTTGCTATAGTAAACAGTTCCGCAGTGAACATACACGTGCATGTGTCTTTTAATAGAACCATTTATAATCCTCCAGGTATATACCCAATAACGGGATTGCTGGGTCAAATGATATTTCTATTTTTAGAACCTTGAGGAATCACCACACTGTCTTCCACAATGGTTGAACTAATTTACACTCCCACCAACAGTGTAAAAGTGTTACTGTTTTTCCACATCCTCTCCAGCATCTGTTGTCTCCAGATTTTTAATGATCGCCATTCTAACTGGTGTGAGATGGTATCTCAAGGGGGTTTTAATTTTCATTTCTCTAATGACCAGTGATGATGAGTATTTTGAACTTTAAAAAAACTTGATCTATTATTTATTTGATCAATTTTATTGAAGAATGACCTATTTTATTGAAGAATAATTCATTTAAAATGTATAATGTAATCAATTTTGACAAATGTATGAAGAAATTCTACAAAATGCAAATAAATACATTGGAAACCAATGGAGATCTGTTGCCAGGCTCAGAGGCAGAAAGAAAAATTGACTATAATGGATAAAAATGGAAATGCTTTCTATCTTGATTGTGGCAATGATTTTACAGGTGTAGCACTTTTTTTTAGCAAGAACTTTCTGAGGCTCTGTGTTCCTTATCGAATGTGTATATGTTTAGATCCTGTTTTTGTGTATATGTTTTCTAGGAATTTTGCTTTCAGTTCCTTATGCCTTTTTGAGTTGTAGACATTTTCAATTTAAAAAATCAAAAAGGGCTGTGTAGAAAGGGGAATACTTATACACTGCTAGCAGGAATTTAAATTAGTTCAGCCAGTATAGAAAGCAGTTTAAAGATTTCTTAAAGAACTTAAAACAGAACTACCATTTGACCCAGCAATTCCATTGTTGGGTATACACCCAAAGGAATTTAAATCATTATATTATAAAGACATGTGCCTGTGTATATTCATTGCAGCACTATTCACAATAGCAAAAAAGAGAATCAACCTAAATGCCCATCAATGGGCATTTAGACTGAATATATAGTACACATATATCATGGAATACTAGGCAGCCATAATAAAGAAACAAGATAATGTCCTTTACGGCAACATGGATGGAGCTGGAGACCTTTATCTTAAGCAAACTAATGCAGAAATAGATAAACACTGCATGTTCTCACTTATAAGTGGAAGCTAAACATTGAGTACACATGAACACAAAGAAGGAAAAATAGGCAACAGGGCCTACTTTAAGGATAGAGGGTGGGAGGAGGGTGAGGATCAAAAAACTATCTATTGGGTACTGGGCTTATTACCTGAGTGATGCAATAGTCTGTATGTACAGAACCCCAATATACAATGTATTTATAGAACAAACCTGCATATGCATCTCTGAAACTAAAATTTAAAAAAGTTCATTCTAATCTCAATGGGCTGGCCTTCACCATTCAAAAGGTCCTCTCTGGAGTTAGATCTCAAAATATTTTGAAGAGTGGACAACATATTAAGTTGATTTTTGGAATGACCCCCCCCGCCGCCCGACACACACACAAAGGAAAAGGTCAGAAAAAGAATAATCAAGCTGAGTATAATCTGGAAATTGTTTTAGAATGTGTTGAATGTATCAGCTTTATCAAATTAATATTTATAGAAAGTTTAATGTAAATATTTTGCATAGGTAAAAATTAAAGACAACCTAATGCAAAAATTAATGTGATTAGACTTGAATGCTTCACTGGCATTGGTGGTCAATATCCTCACTGACATGGATATTTCTGCATTGGAAATGAAGTAGAAGCAATTTTATTTTAAGTTCAAAGGGATACATAATTATATTTACAACACACTTTGTGCAGTAACTTTGCCTAGTATTGATAAAGTCATTCACTTTCTATCATTTTTATCTTTTAATTTTAGTGCAATTTTTTTCTTTGAAGAAAATTTTTATTTTAGTTTAATTACCATACAGACCTGTGAGTATAGTGGGCACTAAGCAAATTCTAACTACATTAATGGAGTAAAGTTAGTTTATTCTGAGCTGATGTTCAAATAGGAGCTCTAATTAACTTTACAAGAGTCCATAGAGTCCATTTGGGGACATTCGGTCTCTAAAATTGCCATGTACAAAATTGTACTTTGAGCTGTCTCTTCTGAATTCTTACACTTGTATGAAACCAGATCTTAAATTTTTCGTTCACACATACAGATAGACTACTATTAATCCATTTAAAAAATGTTCCCCCCTCAGGAGTATTTGAATTTTAATGAAGTCATGGTGCAAACTCTTAAAAACTTGTAGGTCAGAAAAGAGAATTTGATGTCTCAAGTAATGGATAGAAGAGGATTTGAGAATACATCACACAACTTTCAAATGCCTTCGTTTTCAAGTATGAAGCTGACACAGGATGTGTATTATACAGATATTTAATGGCCAATAAACCTTGATGAAAATTTTAACAGGTAACTGGTACCATATGCGGCTATTTTTGTAAGAAGTATAACACAGGATTTCAATCACCTATAAGTTGTATAAGTTAAGTAGCAGCATATATAACCAACCCATTCATTTTTCCTGCAATGCCTCTTAAGCCAAGTGCCTTTCAATGTCTGTATAATATTTGAAATATCTTTGAACACTGCTTAGCAAGTATTCCTTGAGCCTTCTATCACCTTAACCTTTGCTAGAAGAAATATGAACACAGCTCTTTCCTTATAAAGTTTACAGTAGTAAAAACTAAAGAAACTTCAATATTGAACTGCATAAAATATAAAAGCAATTAAAATAGAGGACTGAAAAACTCATTTTGGAAGATGAGGTTTCCTAAACTATGTTTGAAGGACAGATATGTTTTTGCAATAATTTGAATATTAGCAGAAATGTCTGGAGTAGTAGGAGGAGTATTTTAGTGGAAATTACTGTTCTCTCCTTTTTTTCTCAAACCAGTCTAAAATGTACGTTGTGTATTATTCAACAGGAGTGAGTAGTTTTTAGTTATGGATGTTATTTTTGGTGATGGTTCTAATATCTGTAAGTATTTTGTTACACAAAGTGTGCTCCAAGCACCACCATCTTTGGCATTACCTAAGACCATGTAAAAAATGCAGATTCTCAAGACCCAGTCCAGCCCTACTAGATTAGAATTTGCATTTCAACAAGATCCTAGTTAATTTGTATGCGCAGTAAAGTTTAAGAACTACTGTTATAGATAAATTTTCCTACGTCCTAGAATTACTTGGGGAGCTATTAAGATCCTGATTCCCATTCAAAAGATCCTCTCTGGAGTTAGGTCCTAAAAGCTTTGAACAGTGGACAACGTATCCATTATGCATTAATTCAAAGTCTGATGAATGGATCAAACTTGGGCATTAGAATTGTTTTTTGTAAAGCTGCCCACGTAGTCCCATTGTGTACCCAGGTTGAGCATCACTGCATGAACTACTCCGACCATGGCACTTAGAGCAGCAGCAGGTAGAATTTAGAGGCATCCCTCAATACTTTATAAATTCTGATTGTCTAAGTTGCTTTACAAATACTCACTGAGTACATGCAGAGTATTAGCATATTCTTTTAACATGTGTGTGAAAATTTAATTAGGCATAATTTGAGCAGCTGCTCTTGAGACTGGTTTTTCCTTTCCCAAGATTTCTCTTCAGACAGGTTTGGCTGCATAAAATGTAAAACATTGAAGTTTTTTGGTTCCCTTAAGGAACATGCAGTAACAACATTTGATCAAAGATAAACATGATGAAGTGAAGTAGGATATACTCTAAAAGAAACATATTCTCCCTATACGAGAATTCATCTGAAATTCCCTTTTGCTTGGGCAACTTCCCTAATGAATAAAGTTTTTAAAAATCTTTTAAATTAATTATTTCTTTTTCACGATTCTTGAACTATAAATAGTAAAGCATTATTATTTAATCATTCATAGCGATAAAAATAATCATGTTTTCTAAAAATGATAAGTATTTAAGACAGTAAAATGTTACATGTTAGAAATTTAGTAAGATCAAAGAGAATCAATAAATACATTTAATATACATTTTGTCCTTTTCTATAATACTTACAAAAGAGATTTATGAATACAAATTTCAAATAAAACTAACAGAATCAGGTCTCTGATTTCCTCCTACATATTTCTATTGCAAAATACTTTTATGGAATGTTTATCAGCTTTACTAACATGGATACTTAAATTATACTTCAGCAACTTAAGAACTCATAGGTATACTTAAGTGCACTTAAGGCCAAAAATGAAAAATAAGATTAAAAACTCATTATAAAGTGTTCTAAAGGTATGTTTGGAGATAAGCCCAATGAATATAAAAATAGTAAAATAGTTCTTTCATGGATAAGATTGTGATATTTTCTTCCCTAAATATCTTTATTTGTATTTGTGATTGTATATGTATTTTAGTTATTTATTTTATAATAACTAGAATTATATAAATTAGAAAAGAAAGCACTATTAAAGGGGCAGAACTCCCATAACAGTAAAGAACACTGAAAAACTACTTCTAAATGAAAGCAATAAAAATACTAGCAAAATTTGTCAAAATCAGCTTTTTCACAATCCTCAAAAAAGCTAACAGTTTGTAAAATCTGAAGAGGGTTTATTAAAAAATGACCGAAACTTAGTACAATGACCTTCATGGTAGTTCAGTTTATCTGATTTCCATCCCTTTTGTAGTAATTCAGTGGTATCCTTGAAAACAAGCTGTGTAGCAGCCACTGGAAGGGGAAGACCAGATTTCAAGTTCCTTAAGATGTTCCATCTCCAGAGAATTGTATCTCTAGGGCATTTTCTGAAACAATCAGCAGCAATTCCTAACACCGTTGCTGCAGAGGTGATGATACCAGTTGAGGCAAATAAGTTGTGAACCTTTTTTTTTTTTTTTTTTTTTTTTTTTTTTTTTCAATTCTGTAGAATACAAAGTTGATAGGGGACTTTGGAAAATTCCTGCATGTTTCTAAAAATCTAGATTACCAGGTGCACGCGTAAGTGTTTCACAGGTGTAGGGCTGTGCACATACTAAGGAAAGACGTGAGAGTGCCCTGATCTTTCACCTCTGGTCATCATTGGGAACTTGCAAATGAAGGCTGAAAGTTGTATATTAATGGAGCATTAACGCTGTGCCCCAATGTACACACAGGCTTTTTGACAAAGGAAGACTTAAGGGTTTAAGGTATTTAAGGAAATTTTTGTATAATCATTAGCTGAACATAGTCTAACCAGAGACCTTCATGATTGCATACAAAAGGAATACAGACTTTGCATACTTAGTTCAGGAAAGCTAGCAAACAAAAAATAATAAAAGAAAACAAAATTGATTAAAAACAATAATAGTAACAACAAATCCTGGACAGGAGATCTTATTTCCAGAGTTGTTCATATTATATTGAAATGTCCAGTTGATAGTGACAGGAGGCAGTCAAATGCCTAGGCAGATAGCGGCCGGTCCTCTGTGAAACCTTACCTCCAAGCCAAAGGCAGTTTAAAGCTTGAAAGCCAAGCTACAAGTCAAAGCCTGGGACCAGATTGAGAATGTGTCCTCCCATTTGGTACGCTTTCATCTGATTGATCTCCACCCTACACCTGTTTTACATATACCTACTTTTTCCTAATTGGTTTTCTACACAGCTGTGCCCACTTTTGAGTGGTGCCTTTGCGTTAGCCTTTCTTTGCACGCTCACAAATCAGCATGCATTCCCCTATTCTGAGCCCATAAAAGCCAAGATTCAGCCACACTGGGAGAGACACCACCCTACTCCAGGTGGGGATCTCCCTTGCATCTCCTCTCTGCTGAGAGCTATTTCATTGCTCAATAAAATTATTCCTGCCTTCCTCGCTCTTTGTATCATCAGTGTATCCTCATTCTTCTTGGACATAGCATGAGAGCTCTGAACTCAACAAATGTGCATACAGAGAAGGCTGTAATATCTTGGCCCTCTGCCCTGCACCAGTGGAGGGCAGCTGCTTTGCACAACAGAAATGGTGCTGGGGCTGAGACAGCCCCAAAACTGTGGGCTGAGGCAAGGTAAGGGTGTTGCCACCCAGTTGTCTCCAGCTGGCAAAAGTGATCAAGGAAAATCCTGTGTCCCAACTTTCAAAAAAAAGTTGTGAGATGCATAAAGATATGAGAAAGTATGGCCCACACATAGGAAAAAGCAAT